ATCTGATACAATTGATAAGTGAGGAGATTTATCTATTATATCTGCAACTCTTGCCTCTATATCTCCCGACGCTTTGTCTAAAAGATAACCAGCCATCTGCCTTCGCCTGGGTAAAGTGTAAATAGAACGTAATTTTTTAAAGAATTCTTGGATGTAAGGATTTTCAGTGATGTGGAAAGGTAAATTGCTCGCATATACAGTTTTTGCAAACAATTGATCTAGCTCATTTTTTTTCTTTGGGATTAATTCTATGTATAAAACCGGTTATGGAAGATTGAGATTTACATTTAATCGCCTTGTTTGTAGATTGATTGGAGATAATGGAATCAAATTTTCTTGAGTCACAAGACAAAATATTGTCAATTTGATAATCATTCTCGATAATTTCACCCTTTTCTTCATCAGAGCTAGAAATATTACAGACTACATTTATGGGACTTTCTGTAGAGGTTGAAATTTTGGAATTTTCCTTAATTATGGCAGGGCACATAGTACAGCTGCTTAATAAATGCTTGACCATTCTATCAACGTGTCTTGCAAAACTTGCTTACCGCTTTAACTGATTTTCTATCGCGTACTTCTTTAAAATGTTTCCAAACTTGATGCTTTGGTTTGACCATAATCCCTAATATATGAAAATTTAATTAAAAAAGATTTTGATTATTGTAAAGTTAATCAAACTTAATTATTTTATAATTATCGCTAATTATTTCAATAATTTGGCTTAATATTATAATATAATATATAATATAATAAAATATATAACATTTTACCAGAATTGAATAATTTATTTTATAAATCTGACCTGAACAAATAAAAAAAAAATTATTTTTATGCAAGTGGAAGTAAAATAAATGAGAATTAATATAATTTATACTGGGCGAAATATTATATAAATTTAAATTCATAATAAACCATGACTTAGCTAAATTATTGTATTTATTTATTTTAGTAACAAAAAAAAATTCTTTGTTTTGGATTATTTATGATGCAAATATATTTTAAAATAAATTGTAACTTAATAAGATTGATAAACATGCTTTTAATGCATACTAGTTAATTTATCAAAATATTTATTTTCTAATAATATTTTAGAGTGTTTGACCGTTTGACCGGTCAAATACTCCTTCGGTCAATTGACCAACATGCCAACCCTGGGTACACCTACTTTACCAAGTGTGAGTCCGGATATTAAATAAAATTGTTGAAAATTAACTTGAGAAACACTCAGTGTTTGTGTCAGTGGGTTCAATTCAAGAATGGCAAGTGGGTATTCAAGAATGGCAAGTGGGTATTCAAGAATGGCAAGTGGGTATTCAAGAATGGCAAGTGGGTACTGTATTTGGTAGGATCAGTAATGTCGTGTGGGAAATTAAGATGAAATTATTTCCTCCTTTCTCTTTTTTTGTTGAATATTAATTAATATTTTATAAAGTATGCGTAGTTTTGTACTATTATAAATAACTTCATTTATTATCTTTTTATTGATTCTCCTCCTTGCAAATAACTTTAATCATCTTCATTGATTCTCTTTTTCATTATATTGATATTGATTTCCCTCCTTGCAAATAACTTTATTTATTCTCTTTTGCATTATATTGATTCCACTCCTTGCCCTTTTTTTAAAAAAAAGAGTATTTATTGATTGTTGTGCAAAATAGGTAAACAACAATATTAAAAAGATACATTTATTCCCACTTTTCCCCTTTTGAATGTATTTATTAATTGTTTTAAAAAAAAAAGAAACAACAACATCATAAAGATATATTAATTAACCTTCCCTTATAATAATTGTATTACAAACAAATTTATTGATTGTTTTTTAAAATAGGTAAACAACAATATTAAAAAGATACATTTATTCCCACTTTTCCCTTTTTGAGTGTATTTATTGATTGTTTTTTTAAATAATGAAACAACAATATTATAAAAATGCATTGATTCCCCTCCTTAATGTAATCATTGATTGTATTCCAAAATGAGGAAACAAATAATATAAAGATGCATTAATTCCCCTTCCCATTATAATAAATATATTCCAAGTAAGGACACAACAAATCATAATAATGCGATATGTCTCTTTCACATTTTATTTATTCCCTCCTTTACAATATTATAGGTACAATTAATTTCTCTCTCATGCCAAGCGAGCTCTTTCTCCTCTATCATTAATTTCAGTTACTTCCCCATCATAAATTATGTTATCACTGTCATTTATTTGAATGATATTGGATTTTAGAGTTTTTTTAAATTAATTTTTATTTATTTTAAGTGATGCATGTAATATTTGTTGTTAAATAATATTTAATTTTAATGTTTCAATAATATTATTTTCTTTTAATGTTTACAGGCTATATTTTTAGATTGTTGTATGTAAATTGAACATTAGTTTATATTCAATTTAATTCTGTAAATTAAAATACATATATTTATATATATATATATAATTGGAAATGAAAAATTGATATATGAAATTTTCTTAAGTAAAATATATTCTGAATAAAGTTGAATTGCAGAACATTTTAATACATTCAATTCGCCCTTCATGGCAGAGTCTTGTTCCGATTCATATTCAATAATATTATTTTCTTTAATATTTTTTAATCAGTCTTAAGTTATGATATACTCTTACCAATTTTCCGGTTTTAGAAGTCTTCAATAGATTTCTGTTTTTCGTATGAATATTGTTCCAAACCGACCAATTATTTTCTGAAGAAGTTGAACTAGGAAATGTTAGTAAAACATTAGTCACTTCTCTTAATAGACAAATAGCAAAGCGCATTCCACCAACTTGATGCCAAATTTTGATTGTTTCTTTTGGAAGTTACCACACATATTTTGGCCATTAAATATGCTTTTACTTCTGAAATTTATTATATCACTTAAAATATTTTGATCACCACCTTGTAAGATAGCAAATTCTTTTATTATATCACATGTTTCATCAAATTCAGTACTATTAAGATGCTCCCCTTAATATTGGGGGCCCAATAGATAAGCAGCATTGTGAGCACATATATTTAGATCATTTTTTCTCTTTTCATAACGTTAATTTTTTTTTCTTCAGCTGGAGAAAATATAGAATCATGGCATGATTGTATTATGTTATTTCCTAAATTAAATATCTCGTTTTTTAGGTGGGCCAAGGTACATTTATCCCCTTGCACTTTCAAAGATGAGGTGGCTAAAGGTTGATTGCTAAAAAAAAATTTCGTCCAAAATATTTCTTCATTTAATATATTATTGCTAATTTCTATAGGACAAATATAGTGTTGTTAAACGGCTAGCTTTGAGCCGATTTTTAATAACGGCCAACTCAATACTTCATCTAGAGTAATATTACGCAAGCCTGAAGATTTTGTTTGTAGAAGGAACAAAGGTTTGGCCATCTAGCGAAATCTCGAGGCTTAGGTAATATTTTTATGGCTAAAATATTGAGTTAGCCGTTTTTAAAAATCAGCCAAAACGAGTCGTTTAACAACACTAGACAAATATCACATACAGCTTCTTCAACAACTGATGCTTTCTTTCATATTTGTATTATCTCCATATATTTTATCAACGATGCCCATCTTTTTGGCTAATTGTACTTAATGTAGTTGGTCTACTATGTTGATTCTTATTACAGGAATATACTGGAGCTGGTATGTGCTTATTCTTAAAAAATTCAACAATTTTTTTAATTATTGCTATATAGTAGCGTTTAATCGTTCAAAGTGTGGAAGAATAATTGTAATGTATGTGCTGTACAACCATAACATTGTATATTTATAAATAGATTCAGATTTTAGAATTCTCCAGGCTGCTTTCATGTTAGCGGCATTATCGGTTACTACTAGATTCAATTCATGAAATATATTTTTAAATTCCTGGTCAATATATCTACCATATGGTGATTTTCCTCAGTATTTAAAAATTTGTAGAATACTGGAACAGGTGTCATCATCATAAAATAAATGTCGTTTCTGATGTTGCTGTAGCCATCTGACACAATTGATAAGTGAGGAGTAAGTGTTGTTAAATTGCTTGGTCGTAAAATTTACGACCCAAGTTTGTATTCAGGCCTGCTCTGACAAGAACCCTGAGCACAGACCCAGAGTTAACCCAGCAAATCCGGAGCAACATAATGGAAGAAAAAAATACAATAAATATATATAACCTAAAAAAATAAGGGATTGGTTTTGTTTTTTATTTTATATTTGTAATATTACACAAAGAAAAATATTTTATTGTTATGAATTATCAAAATGGATTTAATATTATGCAATTTTTAAAAAAAATATGAAACATAATAAGGAAGAAAAAGTAAAATAAAAAGAAAAGTATATAATATATTTTTCTTTCACCAAGGTAGGGCAGGGGAGGTGGAAAAGAAATAATATATAAATATAAAATTTAAAAAAAATCGTCTGGGCATATAAAAAATAATTTTTTCAATATGTTTATCATAATACAGAACTGATTACGATAATCTCTATTGTGTTTATGAATATATTTTGATATTTTTTAGTAAATTTAAAATAAGCCGATGGCAAATACAATACGATAAATTGTAGGATTTTTTTGATTTAATTTAAAAGAGAATTGTTGATGCAAATTTAACTAGAAATTCTTAAAATATGTGATTATTGTATCATATTAGCAATTTCCTTATTCTAAACGTAATAGCTACAAGTAAAAACTTAGTTTTTGAATTTTTTTTTATGAAAAGATATACATCACATAATTTTAATAATTACATACAATTAATTCTTAAAAAAAATTATTGTTATAAGGGACAGGTTAAAAATTTTAACTTTTATTTGTTATTTAAAATCCTTTTGGACTAGTGGGTTGTGATCTATGCTTGGAAACATAAGGTCCCAGGTTCAATCCTGGTAAGGAACGTAAAAATTTTCAGGTCTTTCTTCGATGACTGATGTGTAAAGACATATGGTAATTTGGAGCTTAGAGATGACACCCCGGTAACCGACAGGCTTGGACAGCTGGGTGCTAAGGATATGTCCAATAAACAAATGAAGGATACAAACGAAGATATGATTATGAAAGCTAGGGCGTTCTCTCCAAGCGACGCGCAGGGTGTAGACCTCCATCCTGTGAAAAGTAAAATAAAGGTCAAAGCAAAGAAAACAAGGTTAGCAAGTTTGAATATTGGCACACTTAAAGATAAGACGAGAGAATTGGCATCAATGTTGAACAAGAGAAAAGTTGATATAGCGTGCATACAAGAGACGATATGGAAAGGTCAGAAGACTTTAATGATTGGAGATGGGTATAAATTGTACTACAATGGAATTGTTAGCAATAGGAACGGTGTCGGCATCATCCTTAGTCAAGATCTAACCTCCTCAGTGGTAGAAGTCAACAGGATCTCTGATAGATTAATGAAAATAAATCTACATTGGTCAATCAATACTACACATCCTTTCAGTATATACTCCTCAAACGGGTTGCAAAGAAGAAGTGAAAGATGACTTTAGAGCTATCCTTGATGATGCTGTAATGGAAATCTTTAAGGATGACCTAGTCATAAAAGGTGGTGACTTAAATGCGCATGTGGGAAAAGCAAGAGACAGCTACGAAAGGCATCATGGTGGTTTTGGATATGGAGAAAGAAATAATGAAGGAGAGCATGTAGAAATTTGCGCAAGCCATCGATCTTGTTAACCAACACTTACTATAAGAAAAACGACAGTCATTTAATAACATATGAAAGTGGGACAAGGAAAACCCAAATAGATTACATGCTTATCTCTCACAGAAGATTAAAAGATGTAATGACTGCAAAGTCATCCCAGGAAAAGATATTGCGGCACAACACAAGCTACTACTCATGGATTTACACCTCACAAATAAATCCACTCAAAACAAGATAAAACTTGAACCATGCATCAAATGGAGTAGAATAAAATCAATGACAGATGCCTTTGCAATCAACGCAAAAATTGAAACAATAGATTCCTCACAAGTCAGTGAACAGACCTTTCATACAGATTAATAGACACTGCAAAATCGACACTAGGCTTGACAAAAAAAATTTTTTGATTATAATAATAATTATATTTTAAATGGGCTCTAGGTCTTGGAGGGTCATGATATTTTTTATCAACACAAAATATTAAATAAAAATGATAAATCAAATCTATGCCCCAAAATTATTGAAGCCAAAATTATCCAAATGGAGGACGAGAAATTATAGGTTGGAACCAGAGTTTTTAAAGTAGCGCGCTACTTAGCGCGCTAACCTTTTGGTAGCTATAGCTAATAGCGGCTACTTTTTTTGTAATTATTTAATATTTTAGCGCGCTAATTTTTTTGAAAGTAGCTAAGTAGCGGCTACTTAGCTACTTTTAAGAAATATAATGAAGGTAAGTATAAATATGAAAATTTAAATATAATATCATAATTAATTATAATTTTTATGATTTATTATTTAATTTTGAAATTGAAATATATTTTCAATTTGTAATTTATATTTTCATTTGTATTATAAACCTAAATCACGTGTTAATAATTTAAAATGTCATCGCCTATGGATATCCAAATCGTTGAAAGTGATTCAGACAATGATATTAATGAAATGGAAGATACTAGGGAAGAAAATGTTCTTAATAGCTATAATACAAATTTCCCATTATCTAGATTTGAATTTTTTTAAAATAAATATATAATCCAAAAGTGGCTAAAAATTTATTTGTTTAAAATGTAAAAAAAAATATTTCCTCAAATCAATCCCGCAGCTATAACCTCAAGAAACACCTAATGGTAAATTGTCATTTTTACATTCTTATAATATTTATTTTATAAGACTGTTCATGAGTTTTAAGGAAATGAAGAAACATCTAAATAATTTTGGTATAGGCGACTCTACATCCAAAAAGACTAATTCAATTCAGACCAAATTAATTAATAATGCAAATGACTATATTTCTCAGAAATTGGTTGATAAAGTTATTGTTGATTTTATAATTTATACAGTTCAGCCAATGTCCTTGGTTGATAATCCATCATTTACCATGATGATTAAAACTCTATCCCCTAGTACAACAATTTTATGCCGCCAGACACTAATGAATAAAATAGTAGATAACTTTAAAATGATGAAATATGAAAGATGATCTAATAGAAGAGTTATCAAAGATATCATATATATGTACCACGGCAAATAGTTGGACACATAACAGAAGGTAAAAACTTATTTATATTTATAAATTGATCCGATTAAATATTTTTGAGCTTATTTGGGAATCACAGGCCATTGGCTAAATCCTAAGACTTTTAAAAGAAGTTCTGTGGCATTAGCCCTCAAAATGATAAGCCAGACATATGATGTACTTGCAAATAAAATTATTGATAATCTATCTTATATTAAAAATATGTATATAAAATTAAATACGCCCTTACCCTCAAGTGCTAGTGTCGAGTGATTATTTAGTAAGGCAAAACTTATACTTTCTGATAGTCGCTCTAGACATGGGGATGATAATATTGAAATGATTTTTATTAAAATGGTACAAATTACCATAAATATTTATTTCTATTACATAAACTTTTTTATAATCAAAACTAACTATATTTTAATATTTATAAATGTTTATTTTTATATATTTACTATACAATAACATTATAAGCAAAAAATAAAAAATTTGTTTGTAAATTTTTTTTGTAAAAAGTAGCTTAAAAAGTAGCTAAAGCTACTTTTAAAAAATAGTAACTAATAGCTAGCAACTTTTTTTGACAAATAGCGATAGCGGTGGCGCGCTACTTTTAAAGGTAGCGTTTAACAACTCTGATTGGAACTAATTTGAGAAAAATTGATTCCCCATTTTTAAAAACGAAAGTTCACAAATCAATAAAATTTAATAATTTAGCAATTCCTAATAAGACTATCTCCATAATAACAGCATCAAGAAGTGCATCTTCTTATGGTAGTTGTGAATCAATTTGCAATTGGCAAAAAAAGTTGCAACAATAAGAGATGCCAATGTTTTTAAAATGGCATTAAGTGTTTCACAAAATGTCACTTAAATATTATTTGTGTAAATAATAAATAATTGTTCAAAATTATATTTTAAATTTCAATTATCAAAATCAAATAAAATATGTGTTGATTATATGGCTTGAAAAATATAATGATAGAGATATTTGCTTGTAGAGAAGTGTAATAATTTATAACTGCAAAAAATTTATAATGTCATTTTAAAATTTGTGAAACGATGGTTTCAAATATAGCTTCCAGAAATTTTGAAATTTAAAAATATTACATATTAGATTAAGTTCCGAGCAAATAATTTTATCATTAGGTTACAATGAATTTTTAAAAAGCACGGACTATATACATAACACCTGCTTGTTGTTATATCTACAATTTACTTACTTTTTATTTAATATTGTTTAATTTAATATTAAAGTCTAAATATGTTGTATTTAACTTTTATTTGATATGATACCCATGTTGATGTTTTGTGTTAATAATAATATTTATGACATCTTAACATCCCCGCTTAGAGTGATAAAATTAATATTATTAAAAGATTTTTTAATTATTTTTTATTTGACACTGATATCAATTTTTATATACCCCCCCCCCTTCCATTCTCAAATTATGTCCAACCCTTTAAGATAAGAATAAATAATTTCGGTCAAAAGATATTTAAATAATTTGTGTTTATGAAAATATTCCTGACCACCCAAGACCTCCCTAGTTAAGTATAATTATTACAATAGATATTTTAATTACCTTTTATTTGATACCCATATCGTTATTTTGTGTTATAAAAATATAAATGATTCCCCAAGATCTAGACCCCCTCACTTAGAGTGATAATTCTTATTACAATCAAAAGATATTTTAATTACCTTTTATTAGATACCAATATCAATATTTTTATTTTTAACACCCCCCCCCCTAGAGCAAATCCTACCCATCAAGACCAAGAATGATCAGTCAAAATATTTAAATTAGCTTTTATATGATACCCATGAAATTTTAATCTGATAAAAATATTTCTGAATTCCAAAACCTAGACCCTCCCGCCTAAAGTGATTACTATTATTAAAATAAACAAATATTTTAATTACCTTTAAATTGATACTCATATCAAAAAAATATATTTTTTACGCCCCCCCCCCTCCTCTATCCATCCCTCCTGACCAAGTCATATCCATCAAGACCAATAATGAATACTTCATTTAAAGGATATTAAAATTAGCTATTATTTGATATCCATATCTATATTTTGTTTTGATAAAAATATTCCTGACCCCCCCCCCCCAGACCTAGAGTAGCCCATTAATGGTGAAGTGTTAACCTAGTTGAATAGATCTTTCAATTAGCTATCGATTGACACCTATATTCGACATATCTACTTTGATAAGCCCCCAAAAAACTTTGAAAATAAATCCAGATTCTGAACCCTTTAAAAATTACGACATATATATTATATTTAGGGTGGAGTGGGGAGTATAGGATTCATAAATAGAATTTATATTTTCTTGCCAAACATAAAAAAAGATGATTATTTGGCTTTGACATGTATGCTATATAATTAATAACAATAAATGATTTATTATTTAGAAATAAGTTGTTAAAATTTGGAAAATAAAATACATAAATATGTTATTTTAAATTAAAAGTGCGAATTTCAGAAAAATTAATTTGAATGGAATAATCAAAACAATTTATAATAAATCACAAGAGAATAAATTGTGTTAATTTAAAAGTATATAAATTTTTAATGCATATATAAGATACCAAGAATTGCTTTATTTTGACTTTTAAAGAAATCAAGGTCTGTATGATCAATTGGGGGAGAAATTTGGTGAAAATTATTATTTTGCGGGGGAATTATGTAAATGGCTTAGCCCCCCCTTTAATTCTTATATACTTTATATATATGTCGTATTGGGATATGGAATCGTGGGATTCGGAATCCCAACGTTGAATCCCCACGTTTTATTCGGGATCTTTTTTTTAAAATGTTTTTTAAAAAATGTTCCGAATCCTCATGAAAAAAAAATTTTCTTCTTTTTTGCGGCTGGCACCATATAATTAAAAGGCCAAAATAAGGGATTTAAAAAGAGAATTTAAAAAAAAGTAAATAGTATAAAATTAAGGCATATAATAAATGAAAAGGGATGAGGTTAAGACATTTTTGTTTTAAAAAATATTAAAATATATTACTTTTTCTTCTCTTTTTTTGCAGCTGGCACCATATAATTAAAATGCCAAAATAAGGGATTTAATAAGAGAATTAAATAAAAAGAAGTAAATAGTATAAAATTAAGGAAAATAATGAATGAAAAGGGATGAGGTTAAAACTTATTTGTTTTAAAAAATATATTTATAAAAAATCCGAATTATTGCAACAATTATTCAATGCAATATGTCATTTCGTTGAACATTTAAGCAGGGACCCGAACCGTTATTTATAACGGTTCAGTTTGGTTACGGTTCAAAATATAAAGGTTCCGTTCGGTTCAGCTAATTATAAAGGTTTATTACGGTTAGAAATTTTTTTTTGTTGAAGCAACACCATCTTCTAATTTATTTTTTATAAGCATATGAATTATATATAAAAAAAATATATAAGATTCAAAATAACTCATTTTTAAATATATTATTTGAACTTATAAGTAATATATTTTCAAGTATAAATGGATTCCTTTTTGTTCGTTGTGACGATAACACAAAAAGCCCTTTCTACAGAAACTTGTGTTGCGGGAACCGCCAGTACTATAAGAGCACGTTTATATAATTCTGGATATTCAAATTATTTCCATTTCTAAAATATAAAAATTGAACCGGTTTAACCGTTTTTAAGGTTCTTTTTACTCCTTCAAAAAATAATTATATCGGTTCGGTTACGGTTATGGTTCAGATATTTATAACAAAAATAAATTTTTTAATAAAAAATATTAAGGGGATTCGGAATCTTTTTTTAAAAAAAAACAATTAAATTATATTTGCCGCCTGGAGGGCACCAGAAAATTTTATTT